AAAGCCAGCCCGGGCAGGAGAGACCGTGAAACTCCTATCTCCAATAAACCACCAGAAAACCGGAAGTGGCACTGTAGCTCAAGTGGTAGAGCGCTTGCCTTGAGCTGAAGAGCCCAGGCCCAGAGTTCAAGCCCCACGACCGACAAAAAAAAAAAAAAAAAGATGTTGTACCAAGGCATTATCATTTCATGTGTCAGGTAACGAATACCTACCTTCCTTCCTTCCTTGCTTTCTTTTGACAGTATCTCCTCTTCCTTTGCTTTCCCCCAGTTTCCCCTCCCATCCCTGGGATCTAAGGATTTTTTTTGGGGGGGGGGTCCGGTCATGGGGCCTGAACTCTGGGCCTGGGCGCTGTCCCTCAGCTCTTCAGCTCAAGGCTAGCACTCTACCACTTGAGCCACAGCGCCACTTCCGGCTTTTTTCTTTTTGCTTATGTGGTGCTGAGGAATTGAACCCAGGGCCTCAGGCATGCAAGGCAAGCACTCTACCACTGAGCCACCTTCCCAGCTCCGATCTCAGGATTTTTAAATGTTGGTGCCAACATCTCAAATACTGTGAGCCGAATATAATGTATCTGCGAGGCACATGTTGCCCACAGGTGCCTCCTTGTGCTCCTGAGGCATGTTGGGGTTGGGGCTGCTAGGAAGAAGTCAGCCCTCAGAGGTTTTTGGTGTCCCCAGTGCTCGAATGGCCGGCTGTTTACGTCATTCCGTTTAATCCTTGCTGCTGCCTTGTAAGCTTGCCACTGTAGTGTCCACAGCACCAGTTTCAGGAGACACAGGTGTGTGCAATGCAAGACCCACTCAGAAGACTAAGGTGTAGACTTTAAGTGAAAGGCCCAGGGTCTACCACACCCAGGTAGAAACCGGTCTACCTATACTAATAACCTTGGCATCTCAGAAACAGGAAGTTGTTCTGGCAGAAGTGTCTATTGAATTCTGTGCTTTTCTCATGGCCATAACAGCCAGACCTGGGAGATAAAAGTGCCCCAACCCCACCCCGTGCCTCCCCTGGGCACTGGGTGTTGGCGTTTGGATGCATCCCCCCCTGCTGTGACTGGAGAAGACATCGTGATACCCTGAGTTGCTGGGTAACACTAGACTCTAAGTACTTAGTGTGCTATATGCCCGTCATCGTAAATACCAATTTTTACGGCTGTATAATGTGCTGAGTAGATGGGCCATTTGATTTGATTTCCGTCCTGCAGCCGCAGGGCATGTTTGCCTGCAGCTCCTCAGGGCTGGGAATAATGCTGTAATAAGCGTGTCTGCCCACACAGCTGGCCTTTGGGGGCCAGCTATATTTTATGTCCTGACTGTGGGACATTTTACGTACTGCTCATTCAATAATTTAGCTACCCTTTACCAGTGTTGCTCTTTTTGTGTCTGTAAATATCACCAAAGCAAAGTCCTTTGTGCAGAAAGCTGTGTCCCTTTAGCTGGGTTGTTCCCACGGATGGCATGCTAAGTGTCTGGAATGAGGAGGGATGGGGAGAAACAGACTTTGACCAGGGCACCAGCACCCCCTACTGATGTATGGAAGAGTTGTGTCATTTTGTACAGCATCCTGTAGTGAGTACCATTTTCACCCCAGATATTAACATCTAAAGGGAATGGGTAGAGCCTGTCCTATTGACTAGATATGGTTGGGATGTTGCACCCCATAAAGCTCCCAATGGAGTGTTCAGGAGACCAATTGCTGAGCAGTGTCTTTGTTTTTGGTTTTTGTGTGTGCGCTGTTCCTGGGTCTTCCTTTGCTCAAGGCTAGTACTGTACCACTTGAGCCACAGCTCTACTTCTAGCTTGCGTTTGTGATTTATTGGTGCTAACAGTTGTGGAATTTCCAGGGCTGGCTTCAAATCATGATCCTCAGATTTCATCCTCCTGAATAGCCGGGTTTATAGGCATGAGGCACTAGTGCCTGGACAGCACTTTTGATGTGGCTTTGCTGTCTGCCACAGCACAGAAGCTTTGCTTTCTTGTGGTAGAAGACTTGCACTTTTCCTGGGATGAGGGTCTTTGCTCTTTACGTCAGGCCTTGGACCCTCCCCAGCAGATGCGGGCCTAGCTGGAGGCCTGGGGGCTCTGATGGATGGGTGATGCTTGTTCAGCGGTGATCCTCGTCTGTGTAAACGATTGCAGGAGAGCCAATGGCGTGGGTGCGCCCAGGATGTGTGCATGGTGGTCTCGGATCTGCCAGGACCTTTCCCAGGCATGGAGGTTGGAGCCACCTTCTCATTCTAGGGCTCTGGTCCTGAAGCAGAAGGTTTTTCTCCCAGCTTCTGTTGCCTCTGCTGTACCTGGGGGCCTCATCACCCCGGGTACCAGGACCTATGCTGGGCCATTGACACCAGCTCCAGGCTCAGGGAGGCTGAGTCCTTCTAAGCAGGTCCCAGGGGTCAGGCTGGCTCGGAAGCTGTCCTCTGTGACGAGCGCAGTGTGCCACCCTGGAGACGGGCTCCTCTCCGCTCTCAGCTGGCATCACTGGCACCTAGGCGCTGCGCTGTCCCAGTGCAACACCCGTTACCAAGAGGGCACCTTTGGGGCCTCCCCGCCCTCAAGCCTCTGCAGCCAATGAGTTCTCAGGAAGCCATGGTGACAGGGGCAGGTGTGAGGGACAGGAGGAAGCTTTCCGGAGGGTCAGCGTCTGGTGGGGACTGGGGACTGGGGACTGGAGAGGGAGCCCAGCCTGCCCCCACCAGATAGCCGCGCTGCGTGTGGCCGGCACGTCATGGAGTACATCCTGTTCGTGCTCTACTTCTCCTTCTTCCTGTGTCTCTGCACCCTCGTGTGCCTCTACTTCTCCGGCTGCCAGGAGATGACCTATAAGCATGAAGGTACAGGGCTGGCTGAGGACGGGGGTGGGGTGGGGTGGTTCCTTGAGAGTTCCCAGCAGGGCTCAGAAGTTGCTGCGTTTTCCAGCAGATTCTGATGAATTGCTGAGGAACTGAGAAGCGAGTTGGCAGGTGGAGGCTGACTCCATGGAGGGGCTGTGTGTGCACACGTGTGTATGGTGGGACTCCTTGCTTCCCCTCTGTCCCCTTCAGCCCGCTGGGAACTCTCCAGGAGGAAGGAAAGTTTCTCTGAAGTCCATTAGGCCCAGCCTACATTTTACACATCTGGATTCATTTACAAAAAGAAGCCTGCTGGTGGCTGTGGCTCTTAGGAGAGGGGAGGCATGGCGGTGTGCCCTGCTCACGCGGCCCAGGCCCAGGCCTCGGTCCCCATGCCTGAGCATCTCGGCGGAGAGCACAGGGGGATCTAGAGGAATAGAGATGCAGGAAACTTGACAGCTTCTCATGCTGGGCATTGGCGCAAGCCCAGTCTTCTTTCTCTTTTCTTTTGTTTTGTTGGTCATGGGGCTTGAACTCAGGGCCTGGGCACTGTCCCTGAGCTTTTTTGCTCAAGGCTAGTGCTCTACCACTTTGAGCCACAGCGCCACTTCTGGTTTTCTGGTTGTTAATGGAGATAAGAGTACTTCCCATCCTTTTCTGCCTGAACTGGCTTTGAACAGTGATCCTCAGATCTCTGAGTAGCTAAGGTTATAGGCATGAGCCACCAGTGCTCAGTTCCAAGCCCATTCTTGTGTGTGTGTGTGTGTGTGTGTGTAACCAAGTTGCCTTGTCTGGAAGAAGATGGCCACTGTGTTCATGTCAAACAGGAAGGAGATTTTTCTGTTTTGTGTCTGGAAAGCACAGGCAGGTACATTACAGATGGGCTTTGCTAGTGTGCGTCACTCAGGAGACACGCTGACTGGCTGGGCTGTGGTAAAGCCAGATGGGCACCGGATCCCGCTGCTCCTCGCTGCTGTGCACTGGTGCTGGCTGTGCTGCCCAGCTTCCTCCTTGTTACCAAGGTGCAGAGCACTTCTGTGTTGGGTTTGTGTCAGGTTTGTGCCTCTAAGTGGCTTCTGTCCACGCTGTGTGGGTCTCAGTGGTCTTGGGGCTCCGAGGACCCCCTACCCCCCGCCCCAGTCCACTGCCTGAGGCTCCGCCTGGCTCTGGGTAGGCTGTATACAGAGGTAGCTTGGCCAGCATTTACAGTTACCACCACAATCTATTGGGGCTCCACAATGAGTCCCACGGGGCTTCCGAATGTGATTGGCAGGTTGCTGTTGCTCCCGAGCCTCCTGGCAATCTGTGCCGACACGTGGGTGACGGAGCCCCACACTGAGTGTGGACTGCCTGCCAGGAATGTGACCCAGAGGCTTCCAGGGGCCTCCTGGTGGCCCAGGGCGCCAGTCAGCATAGCAAACACAGGGCTGTCCCCAGAGGCCGGGCAATTAGCAGTGTTTGTCAGAAACAAGGTTGGCCCATCAGGGGCCTGGAGTTGGGGGGAGGTGACAGGGAGCCTGGAGGACTGCCCGGGCGTTGCGTGGGGTTACTATTGCTGTCAGCCCGTGGCTGCATAGGCGTGGGACTTCCAGTGACCCTAGTCAGGTGGGCTTTACATATGGAGGGTGGCTGGGTAGTGTTTGGTAGTGTTGGACCCGACACTCCTGGTAGTTTGGTTTGTGTTTTACCAGACACATGCAGGTAGACTCACTTAACAAGCAGTGTTTTCTGTGAGGGGGGCTGTGGGCTACAGCGGGGGACAGAAGACCCCAACCCCAGACCCCCATGAAGCTTCTACTCTAGAGGGAAGCCAGGGAGATGTAAACAGAATGCTTAGGGGAATGGTGAGGAGGGAGGGAGAAGGGGCAGGGTAGTCACAGGGATGTGGAAGCCTTTTGATCTGGTTGCATTTGTGCAAAGATCCAAGAGGAGTGTGAAGGGGAGCCCTGTGGATTCTGGGGAAAGACTGTCTTAGCAGTGCAAAGGTCCTGTGGTAACTGTAGAGGAGAGAGGAGGGAGAGGCCGACCATGCAAGGCCTTGAAGACCATGTGTCCCCGGCGTGGACCCTCTCTGGCCACAAGGTTGGGGGGCAAGAATAGGTTGGGAGGGAGACCAGTGGAGGTGGTTGAAGGTGGCTTAGACAAAGGCAGAATGCCACTCGGTTGATACAGGGAAGTTGGGTGCTGCAGTTGGATCTACTAAGGTTTCCTCCTGATGGTGTGGGTACAGGGGATGAGGGGAAAGTCAGGAGATTCCCTGGTTTGGGGACTTGAGCAACTGAGAGGCCGGGCAGTGAAAGGAGCAGGTCGCGGTGGTAAGTCAGTCATCCTACAGCTCCCACTGTCCAGAGCATGGCCTACGGTTGAGTCTGGGCTCAGGGATGGGTTCCTGTTCCATGTGGGTCAAACTAAGAGCAGAAGAGAGGGGAAGGCTATGAAAAGTACATTCTAGATGCGGGGCGGGGGAGGAGGGGAGTGTTGTGAAGGAGCTGGGCTGGGCTTGGAGGTTTCTGTACTCACCATGAGGTCATCAACTCTCAAATAGGCCCAGTCCACAGTGGCTGCAAGTCCCCAGCAGTTCTGCAGCCCACCATCCACGTCCTGTGCTGCCCTGAGGCTCGTGCACCGCCGCCCCTCTGCCCTGGAGGCTGGAGGGGCTGAGGCGGCTGCCGCCCTCTTTTCCCCGGAGCCTGACGTCTGCCCTTCCCTCTTGCAGAAGCATGTTGTGGAGACATTTTTTGGATTTGATGAGGAGTCTGTGGACTCGGAAACATTGTCAGAGACCTCATACAACACGGACAGGACGGACAGGACCCCAGCCACGCCCGAGGAGGACCTGGACGACGTAAGCAAGCCGTGGCAGGTGCAGGGCCTTCCTACCCCGCCCATTGGCCACCCTGGTGTGCATTCCCAAAGCCCCTTCCTGTTCCTATCAGAGAAGCCTGTGGCTGCCGAGGCTAAGCGCAGCCCTTGGCTGAAATGGCTGCGTCACGCTCTCTTGTCCCTGGACACACACAGGCGCGCACGCCACCTAGTGGAGCCAGCGCCAGCGCCTGGTGATTCTTAGGAGAAAATCCAAGCTACCCTCAGGGTAGAAGCACTGCTCCCCTCGGCTGCTCTGCCCTCTCCTGCCCACCTGTGTGGTGCAGGCCCAGTGCTGTGCTGCTGGCTGGGTGTGCGGGGGGGGGGGGGCGGTTCCTCTGCTCCCCCAGAAGCACATTCACCTAAAAAGTCCTCACTTTTCTAGCACAGACTTCCCGCTGTGTGCCAGATTGGGCCACTCTCCTAACTTCCTCCCTGCCCGCCCTCTCTGATCCTGAAGGGGTGAGAAGGGTGTGGCAGAGGTGAAGGCCTCAGGCCGGCCCTGGCTGCTCTCTCCAGCTCCCTGGGGGTGGGGGCATCTCTCTGCAGCTTCTGGGCTGGGCTGGGCATGGACGTGGCCTCTCCCGGGCCCTCACATCCCACACTGGGCAGCTGGCCACACCCACCAGAGCAGGCTTTCCCTCCTCCTGACAGCCCTTTCTGAGGCACCTTCTAGAATGGCCTCTCCGGCTGGCTTCTTCCAAGGTCTGCTTGTCCATAGGAAAACAAGGCACGTGCGGTGGACACTGGCAGGTGTGTCCCCAGGGAGGGCGTCCTCCTTACCTCTTACGCTAAAATTCTGAGAGACATCATAGTCCCCTTGACACCCCTTTCCTGTGGGAGGAAGACACGCCTTCCTCCCTGCTACTCTGCTCGCTGAGTGTCCTGCTTGGGAATCTGGACACAGCTTTGCTCTTGCCATGGGCCTCTGCTCCCTCCAACCTGGAGTTTTACTTTTACATTTCTTTAGGTTACCTTGAGTAAGACCAGCCAGACCCGGGCTTTACTTACTTCCTGCCACTGAGAGGTCATGGAACCTTCTGGGATTTCTATTTTGTGTCTGTGGGGGATGGGTGCCTCACAGGGCTGCAGGCGCTGTGTTTAACAGGACTTTCAGGATGGTCATCTCTGTGGTGTTCAGTTCCCCCACTTCTCTAAGCAAGGCTCTGGTGGCCATCTTTCTGCATTTGTCACTTAGCGTGCCTGCAGAAGGACTCCCAGGAGACATGGAGGTGGGAGGAGGGCCTTTGCTGTTTATACCTTCACTTACAGCGGTCCCAAGCTCCCACAGGGGCGCTGCTGTGGAAAATCCTGTCCTAATTACTGCTTTCCTCTCCGTTACATTAAGACCACAACGAGAGAAGAGGCGGACCTGAGGTTCTGCCAGCTGACCAGGGAGTACCAGGCCCTGCAGAGGGCTTATGCGCTGCTTCAGGAGCAGGTGGGGGGGACACTCGATGCCGAGAGAGAGGCCCGGGTGAGTGAGTGCAACGGTTTCCGCTTGGCTGTCCGGGGCGTGGCTGGTGGGGCATAGCTGGTGAATATGTGGTCAGCAGGAGGGGACCTGAACACAGAGGTCTGGCTGCCAGATGTGGGGTTGGTGAGTGTGGTTTTGGGGGTGGGGTGGGTAGGCTGCTGGCTAGGGCAGGGCTGATGGGGGGAGGGGGTTGGACTGGCAGCTGGGGCCAGCCAGTACTGTACATGGCTTCTAGTTGTCAGTGATGCTGTCTGCATGAACTCTTGTCCTTGTGCTGTCAGAATTACGATAGTGATAGGCTACAGACTGGGATACCTTTGCGGGTTTTAGACCCGTAAATGGCCCTGTGTCTGAGAACCCCAGGACACCCCATGGAAGGCTTGACTCTCAGCCCTCAGCTCACAGACACTCAGGGCCCATTGACCACCGCAGTCCAGACTACACATCTCTCATATAGGGCTGAGCTCTCCCTTCCAGAAACTTCTTCCCTCTGGCCCTTCTCCCACCTGGTGGCACAGAGACCTGGGTTTCCTTTTCCTTTTGAAAGTGCAGAGGGCGCCCAGAGGGCCGGTGCTCTCCACACCACCTATTCTGTTCCCAGTGCTCGTTAGGTGAGGGCATCAGCCCTGCCCACTAAAGGTAACTTAGGCCTGAAAGTGTCAGGCGGGCCCAGACAGAGCGGGGGGATGAGGCCGGCCGCTGTGATAAAAGCTCTGAGGGTGGCTCTGAGCCCATGTGGGACGTGGAGGGTGGTCAGGTGTTCTGTGGCTGGACACTGTAGGACTCTGGCAGGTGGCGGACGAGAGAGGAGCCACTGCCGGGGAAGAGGGTGGGCAGGAGTGAGGGAGTGAGCTCCCTGGGAGGGTCAGAGCAGGGGACTGCGGGGCTTTATCTGGGCTGAATCGGTTTTGCTTTTTAATGTCACCTATCTGCCCACATTCAGTCAAGAGACACTCAGGGAAAGGTGGGGGGGGGTCACATATTCCTCAAGGGACCTTTTGCCTAATCCTTGGCGGTGACGTAAGGTGCCTTCACTTTGCCACAGTCCCTCTGATTCCTTGTCACCTCATGCTTGGTGGGCTTTCTGTATTTACATGCTTTTCATGGTCTTCAGGGTATTTGGTTTCAGGCCTTGATGTAGATGGCATTAAACAAGTAGGAAAGTGCTTGGTGATTGAGGGAGAGCTTGGAGAGGCGTATGCCCTGTGCCCCTGGTTTCCTCCCTGGGCACTCGCCTGCTGGTCTAGGAGATGGGGTGTGGGTGAGCACCTCCCACCCTTCCAGTTCTTCCTAACTTCTTGTTGAACCTCAGCCCCACCAGGTGGGTGAGTGTGAATGCACACTCCACACGGGAGCTCCATCTTGAATCTGCTGCTGAACACACCCAGCAAGATTCGCTCTGCTTCTCTGTCACCACACGAGGTCCCCTGCTCACATCCTGGTTTTTCCATTCCAGACTCGAGAGCAGCTGCAGGCTGATCTGCTGAGGTGCCAGGCCAAAATCGAAGACTTGGAGAAGCTCTTGGTGGAGAAGGGGCAGGTGGGCGGCAGTGCTATTGCAAAGCTTTGTGTCTGGCCCCCCGCTGTGCCCGGGGGACATTCTGTGGAGCTGTATCCACAGCATTAGTGACAGTAGGGAGAAAATACCAGAACCTAGGTGATCATTTGCTGCACATTTTCAGAGTCCAGCATGGCTTTTCCTTCCCTAGATTGGTGAAAAAAATAGGCGGTAACTCCAAAAGCAAAGTTGTAATGGAGTCTTGACTGGAGCCTGAATAGGTGCCTGTCAAAATCTGCCTACCACGAACTCAATTACTGCAGAGGCCACTGGACTGGGCAGCTCTCTAGGAGTAGATTCTGGACTCTGATTTGTCACAGAAAAGCCCAGCACCTATGCTTCTCATTCTAGAGTCGCCTCCTGAAGCTCACACTTGAGTTTGGTTCTGTAGGGCCTGCTGGATAGTGGAGAGAGAGGGTGGTGGAGATGGTGTCCTGGAGGGGGGCGGAGCTCTGGATGGAACCAGCCTCTCTAAAGTGGTGTCCCAGGGCTGCAGCCACTGGAGGCCCAGCGGTCAGGCCCAGGCTGAAAGGTTCTGTCCTGGTTGCAGACACAGATTGCTTCACAACTCACCCTTAAGAGGGTATGATGAGGCTGGCTCCTTGCCCTTACCCCTGTGCCCTGTGGACAGACAGTCATCTGCTCCACACAGTTGCTTGGGGACCCAGTGATGGAGGCCCCATCTTGTAACTACTAATATTCCTCTGCTCAGCCCTGCAAGGTGAGGCTGTATGCTCACTCAGCATAATTCCTTGGCCAGTCCTGTGGCCCCTCAAGGCCACAGTGCCTGGGAGCGTGGGGCCTGAGGAGGGAGTGAAGTCTTCCACGGGTCCCAAGTCACACTGAGGCCCTGGGAGTGGGGAGACAGGGGTGCGGGTCACAAGAGACTCTGCAGGGTCGTGGGTTGCTCTGGAGAGCGCTCTGGAGCCCACGGCTTGGAGGCAGTGCTGACTCATCTCTGGGGAGCAGATGAGGGCTCTGGGGGTGGCCAGAATTCAAAGGCACTAGAGGGCCAGGGCTCAGATCTCACACGTGGCCCTCAGCAATTGGCCTGACCTCTGGACCCCAGAAGCAGGTCCCCAGAGTCATGTCTCCCCTCCTTCCTCATGAGTACTTGGTGTGCCATGGGGAGACCCACTGGGCCTTGGGAGGGACCTGGGCCCAGCCTGGCAGCTGAATATCAGGAGAAGAAAGGAGAAAGGAGAGCAGGGAGAGTTCCCCACTTCCATTGCTTGTCTTCTGCTCTCCCCATTCTGGGATTCTGGGCGAGCCGGCTCTGTATAGCCCTGGCCTGGTTATAGGAAGCCCACAGAATCTGGGCTATGGCGAGACTCTTTGCCCTTGGCTCAGGGACCATGCGTGAGTGGGAGTGGGCACAGGACCACAGAGGGCAAGTCCACGGGGCATGGGTGATCCTTGAGGGCACAGGCTGGGTCACCATGGAGAGTAGGGGAATGGCAGGAGGGGCCAGCTGAGGGGTCAGGAGAGGGCAAGGGGTGGTGGCAGCCCTGCCGTTCTCCTCCTTGGGTGTGTGTGGGGGTGCACACAGCTGCTGCCCGTCTCCTGTGGCTCCAGTGAGAGTCACCGCCCCGTGTTTCCCGCAGGACTCCACGTGGGTGGAGGAGAAACAGCTTCTGATCAGGACGAACCAGGACCTCCTGGAGAAGGTAGGTCCACCTCCAGAGGCATGACAGGCCCGCTGCAGGGACCGGGGCCCAGGCCCTGACTCTGGAAATGGCCTGGTCAGCGGTAGGGGAGTGAGGGGAAGAGTCCGATCTCCCTGCACAGCTGTGGGAGGGGCAAGGCCGCCCCTCCTTGTCCTGTGCGGAGGACAGCGGAGGCCCTGTGACTGGGCAGGCCCTCGTGCCAGCAGACCCACGCTGGGAGCTGAGCCCTTGTGCAGGTCTCTCTGGAGTCGGGTGAAGAGCCAGTGTTTTGGCTCATAGTAGTGTGTGTGTGTACAGTTAAACTATCCTTGAGGTAAATTACAGCTGTGCCTCCACTCCCCCAGGGCTTTTCCAGCAGTCTCAGCCCTGGTGAGCTCCGTGCCCATGTGTGTAGCTGCTTCCATCCAGCCCGGCACCCATCAGTCTGCCCTATGCACCTGTAGCTCTGACTCTTCTGGATCGCCTTGCTGGTGGGCCACGCCCTAGATGGGCCCTGGCTTTAAGCTTCCTTAATTATGTGGGGGAGCCTGGGCCTGCCCTCTGAGAAGCTTGCTGGGAAGCCTGCTTGGCTCACACCTGGTGCTTTTCCAGGCAGCTGGGCGGGGACATCACTGTCCTGCAAGCTCCATGATCCTTGTTAAGTCCTGAGGCCCTGGAAAACCCACCACTTCTAAATGTCCCCGGTGACCCTGAAGAGGAGGAGGAATGGGGACCAGGAGGCGCCTCAACTTTGCAGAGCAGTTACACGCAGGTCCCCAGCTCCTGCGGGACCCAAGATGCAGGCATTCTCACCAGGCTGTCTGGGTGCTTGGGCGTCACTGCTGCCACAGAGGTTTCTATGAGAGAGACTTGAACCCCCACTGCAGAGGTGGGGTGGGATCAGGGCACCCTGATGTGCACCAGCGCCTTCCGCTGCCCGTTAACGCACAGGTGTCTTTGCTCCAGATTTACAGGCTGGAAATGGAGGAGAACCAGCTGAAGAGCGAAATGCAAGACGCGAAGGACCAGAATGAGCTGTTAGAATTCCGAGTGCTAGAACTCGAAGTAAGAGACTCTCTGTGTTGTAAGCTCTCCCATGGAGCAGACATTCTCTTTGAGCCCAAACTGAAATTCATGTAAGCTCCCTGCCGCTTCCAAGCATGTGTGAAGGGACGTGTTACCGTTTCACTCCTTCCTTCTTCCTCCTCCTCTTCCTCTTTTTTTTTTTTTTAAATCTGTATGTTCAGAATAATTTCACTGCCTTAACGTGTTCTGGAGAGGAGGCTCGCGATGTCTGTGGACCTGTACCAGAGCTAATATATTTATTGCCTATGGCTTGTTTTGCACTTAATAAAATAATTTGTTTTTGCAATATTTTGCCTTTTTTATTTGTGTTTCATTTCCATAACTACTTCTCTCCTGCATGCATAGCCAACAGGGGTGCGTTCTGTACACACAGACAGAGGCACCGTTGCAATTAATCACACACCTTTTTAAGTGAACTTGCATGTGGCAAATCTCACCTTTTGAAACAGCAGGGTCTGCCCCAGCCAGCTGTTGCCTCTCTAAATGTGTTTAATTCCAGTTTGAGCCCGTTTTCTATTTGCCAAGGTAAACACCAGGTAAGTGGAGGCAGGGTGGAAGTCTGCATTTGTATACAGACAGTTAAGAACCTAGTTATGTTGTGCAAACTTTTTTAATCCAGTAACTACAGAGCCGTGCACTGCAGCAATTTGGACTAAAGAAATTATTATTTGTATCTCAAAATGCGACTCGGAAATACTGGAGGGAGATTGGACGCTGCTCACTTCCTCCAGGAACACGCACAGGGCACCGAGTGGGACTCAGAGAATACTGATGGTCACATTGTTTCTGACTGAAGTCTTGCCTGGGTGTGTTACTGTATCGCTTGCTCTCATGGTACTTCATAACCCCCCTTTTGTTTCTATTTCAAAGTCATTAGCATTGTGGACATCACTTAGGTTGGTGATGAGCTGCTTCTGTCGGCTCTGTGACATGGCTCTGCTCTCTCAGCTGACACCTTTGCATGTGTGTCCCCTTGGGTGGAAGTAAGCACCTTCACCTGTCTGTGGCTTCTCTGATTTTCTTTGCCCCTCCTGCTTCAGTTCAAGCTCTGTCTGTGTTAGCTTTGTGCTCTGGTAGGGAGTGGTTTCAAGCGTCTCCCTGTCACTTGGCTCTTCCTGAGTACTATATTTGAAGTCATGTGAGGTCAGCACCTCTGCCCCTTAGAAGCCTTTCCACCAGTCACTGTTATAGATGGGCCTTTCTTGCGAGAACCTCCCCAAACACTGCTCGGTGGACTACACCTCCGGCCTTCAGAGTCACTGGAAGCCAGTTTTCTGTCTTGTTCATAGGAAATCTGAGCTTCCTGGATCTCCACTCCCATGGAAACGTCATTAAATAAGCATGGCTGGTGGGAAAGGACGGGCAGAAGTGAACCTTCTCGAGTTTTATCTTGCTCATAAAACTGTTTCCTGTGAGATTGGTTAGCCAGACTGGGGCTTGCTGGAAATCCACTGAAAGAATAGCCCCTTCTTTTCTCTAGCCTTCTGCAGACCAGCAAATTAAGGCTGTCTTGTAAACTCACACCTCTGTGACTTCCCCTTAGTTGAACTATTAATGGAACCCATTGGGTCCGAAGCCAGAGTCTGCAGTGGTCCCAGGCAAGCCATTTTACCACGCTGTAATGCTGTAAAATCATTGCAGCTTGATTTGAGGCACAGTGGGAAAGGGTCTTCTTTGCCAGGGGTCCTCACACATCTGTCTGCCGGGGCCACAGGCTTCAGGCCAGCTCTGTGGGAAGCACATTAAGATGGCCTGGAGGCAGTCAGACCCAGGGGTGTGCTTCGTCCTCCAGGGCAGTGAGGTGTTTCCTGGCTTCTTCCAATGCTTGTCAGGGAGGAGGTTCCTGAGCACCTCTACTGGGAAATGCTTCCTTTGTCATTGACACAATCAGAAATCTAAATCAAGAAGAATGATCCTTTATTAAGTGTGGCTCAAAGGCCTTCTGAGCAACTGCTAATAGATAATAGAGGATAGAAAGTAGAGCGGGGGCTGGCCTGGCCCAGCAGTGGGACCTGGGCCCAGCCTTCCTGGGCCTCTGTCTACAAACTGAGAGCAATATCAGCTGCCTCTGGGGTTGCCCGAGGGTCAGACGGGGCTAGTGGGCCTGGCCGGCACAGCCGGTGGCTCCCGTTCTCCGGCTGAATTTAATGTCATCAAGTTTTGTTTTTGTTTTTCCCAATCTGGTAATGCTGTGACTTCTTGGGTCTTCATCTTGTAAACAGATGGGTTTGGAGACCCTGCTAATTATTTTTCCTACCTCAGTGGGCCTCCTGCCCTGGAAAGGCATGAAGACATCCTCACGGCCAAGGATTGGGAGGCCGTGTTGTTATGCCTGGGCCAGCTCCAATGCAATGTGGGGTTTTGTTTTTTGCTTTTTTTTTTTTTTGGCTGATAAGGGAAAGTGTCAAGTGGTTAACAATGCACTCGAGTTCTGTCTTTAAACCGAATCTTTTCCCCAGGAGAGAGAGCGGAGGTCGCCAGCCTTTAACCTCCAAATCACCACCTTCCCGGAGAGCCACAGCAGCGCCCTCCAGCTGTTCTGCCACCAAGAAGGAGTGAAGGTAGCGTGCTCGGGGGTGCCCTCTGACCCCACCACCTGCCAATGGCTTGTTGAGCAGGCTTCATGCCAATGGGGAATTGTGTCCTGGGGTCAGGGCGGACTCAGCTGCAGTTCGGTGCCCCTGGGTGTCCACTCCATTTGGAAGACATAGTGTCCCTGTATCAGTACTGTTTACCTACACAGCGGGAAGCAGAACTTGACTGCACGACCAGGCTGTCCCAGTTCCTGCCAGGCTCAGATCACTGGGAGCCTCAGCATGCTCAGTCTCTTGGCTGTGAAGCCCAAGTGGCTGCTCTCACCTGGGGAGCTAAAATGATTGTGAATTAGAAAGGGCTTAGCAGTGCCCAGGACAGGCATTGCACATGGTGGCTGTGTTGATGATTATAACAGCCAGGGTTTGCTACCGGCCCAGAGCGCCTGTGGGTGGTATGTAGACTCCCCTGATTCTGTGGGCCAAGAGACCAGTGTGTGTGTGTGCATACATGTGGAACTCAGGAAATGAGCCCCCCTCCCCATGCCCCAAAGAAAGGTCCAGAATAGGCCCACTGCAGGTACTAAGGGAAGGAGAAGCGTGGCAGCCGTGGCTCTGGGAGTGCTATAGATGATCTTTACAGCTCACAGAAAAGTGAACATTGGAAATCTCTTCCAGGATGTGAATATTTCTGAACTTATGAAGAAATTAGATATCCTTGGCGATAACGGGGTAACTATGAGCGATCGGTTTCTGGTTTTGTGTTGTTTTGATCTGGGTGTGTTCTGTGTGAATCTGTTCTTTTTTTTTTTTTTTTAATCTCTCTCTGAGTTCAGAGAACGAATAAGTAACAATGTAAGGCTTTTGTATGGCCGTGTTCCTATGTGGGTGGTTGGGTCTGCATTTGGCAGAGTGGGGGTTCTGAGAAGAGGTTGTCCTTACAGCCTGTGAGTGACAGGGGACAAAAAAAAAAATCTAAGGATATCCAGAAGGAAGGCAAAGTCACTCATCCTGAGTGACGTGTGAAATGGATATTTTTGCCTTCCTAAGATTGGCTTAAATGAAGCCCAGTTTCTCAGCACCTTAGTGCCACCGTGTTACTGCCCCCAACCCAAAGGACAGGCACCTTCTGCCTGGCCTCAGTGGGGGCTCATCCTTGGGGTGCAGCTCAGAGAGGAGCTTGCTGCTCACTGGGATCTGGTATAAACCGCCCTTGCCCGTTTCTTGTGTTTTAGAATTTGAGGAATGAAGAACAGGTTGCAATAATCCAAGCTGGAACTGTGCTTGCTCTGTGTGAAAAGGTAGATTCAGCGGCATTCCTCTGCTCACATCTTGTCCCGGCACCCAGCACCATACAAGAAACTGTACATTGATGTCTTGCTTTGTGTGGCGCATGCGTGCCGTCTGTCCGTCTTCGTCTGCATGTGCACAGCATGCCGTTGGTGTTTGGATAGAACGTCACACACGATTATGTACATTGCAGAACCTCGTGGCTGCCGGAGGCAGCGCTCTCCTTCCCTGCCCATTGAGGAGACAAATAGACGACTATTTGCTTCCTCCTAGTATCTTTCCCATGTCCATTTCTTATTCTTTTCTGATGTTGAGTTAAAAATCATATTTAACATCCAGCTTTTTGTTTGGTCTTATTTTGTGCCAGCTGCCAGGGCTGGAACTCAAGTCCTTAGGTTCTTGCTTAGCTTTTTCACTCAAGCCTGGTGGTGCTCTATCACTTCAGCCACAGCTCCAGTTCCGGATTTTTTAAAATTAATCTGAAGTAATTAATCTGAATTTGTCTGCCTGCGCTGGCTTTGAGCCTTGATCCTCAGAGCTCAGCCACCTGCGTAGCTAGGATGACAGGCATGAGCCACCAGCACCCAGCCAACATCCAGTTTTTAAATTCTGCTTTGGAAGCCACTTAAAATGGCCCTGCCTCGGTGTGTCACTCAGTTGCACGGCAAAGTCCTTACTCAGTCCCGGGTGCCTTGCTGTGTCCTGTCCACCCGTGTGCGTGGCGGGCAGCTCACATTCTGTTGGCATCATCTGCATCGGGCCCCTCCCTCCGTAGGCTGTCTTCTAGAGGATGAATTGCTGGGCGCAGGGCTCAGACGCTGACAGCGCAGGCGCCAGAATACTGGTGCCAGTTATGTTTCTGCGGCAGTCCTGTGTGTAGTTGGCCTCATGGTCACCCTGAGAGGTGACCCATGGAGAGGCATCGTAGCAATTTGGCAAGTAGAAAACGATGATGACATTGTCTCCATTTTTCTTTATGTGGGTGCTAATCATAGTGAGCTTTCCCATGTGTGACCCCCCCCTCCTTCTTTGTGACTCATAATGACATTTCTTTGGGAGGGTTTTCCATTGGGTTCATTTATTCATTCATTGGTTCATTCATTCACTCATTGATTCAATCCCATAATAAATAAGCATTTGTTGTAATTATTTTTCTTACTAACCTCTCGGTGTGTTTATTAAAGAGGGACTTTTTCAGCTATTCTTGCAAATTACATTCCCAGTTTGCTTGCCTTCTATTTTGGTTTAGGATGGTTTAGATATATACACAACTTTTTATGAAGTCCTGTGTTTAGGTCATTTTAGAATGATAAGATCTTTGCCATCTTCCACAGGCCTCCTTCCAGAGTCTGTAGAAAGACATTGAAAATACTCATAGTTTCTGCCCTTGTTATCAGTCCACCCCCACGCCCCAGTCAAGTAAAGGGCACAACAGGGTGACAGGGTTTGACAGTGTCCCACCAAGGCCACACGGTTGGGAAGGGTGATAGGCACTCGGCCCTCCCTGGCTCCACCTCTGCCCGGGTTGAGCTTGCTTCCTCCAGTGCATGGTGGGGTTGGTGCCAGGCGCTGGGCTGGGGCCCCCGAGAGGCAGGCATCTGGAGCAGTGTTAAGTACGCTCAGCACACAACTCCTTGTCGACAGCAAAACTGAATGAGTTTGTCCGGCCTCCCGTGGCACGGCTCCCTACCAGCATCCCTTCAGCGCTGACTGAACCACGCCACTCATGATTAAACTCCATCTAAATTTATCCAAGGAGAGCTTCTAGGTGCCAAGGGTCTTGCTGGTGATGGGGTTTTGTAAACCAGTCACCCAGCCTCACCAAACTGAGCATCCCCGGGCTTGTAGGGCCTGTTTCAAGACCAGGACATATGCCCCGGGGCCAGGCATGGCTGCTATGTAAGTGTGGTCTGGTGGGTAGAGTGAGGTACTGCCCACAGCCCCTGGGCACTGTGGTCCTGAGTTGGGCATTGAGGTCTGTCTCCCCAGCCCCTGGAGATTCTGGACTTTCTGAGCACAGGTTGTTGAGGTGAGGGGTGCTTCCCTGGCACAGCCGTCAGCTAGCAGAGCTTCTCCCCGCCCCCAGCTTCCCAGATGTTGCTGACATGCGCCTCCCGCATCTGACCCTTGACCATGTGCCAGCCAGACGCCAGACCTCCAGGGTGCCTCATCTTTTGCCCTTTTGCAGTGGAGAGAGTAGAGCCTGTCTGGCATCTGGGTTGTGCCTGCTTTGATTCTTGCCCTCCCTGCCTTCTTCCCAGGTTGCGCTCTGCCTGCCCTTACCAGCCTGCTCCCAGCTGCTGTCCATCTGCCACTGACCACCAGGAGCCCTCACACTGCTCAGCCTAACATAGACTTTGTGCCCTGAGTGCAGAGCTGTGCCAGCTGCTCCGACCTGGCAGCTCCTTGCAAGTTCTGCAGGAATAGGAAGACGTGGGGGGGAGGGTATGACACTCATGGGACCCCTGAACTCCGAGTGTGGTATAGATGCACCTAGTTCCATTCACTGCCATCCTTGGGGGCTGGAATGAGACCTGATTCTCGGGTCTGGTTCTGCCTTTTATTTGTGTACAAAGGCTAGGTCAGTTTGGGAGTATTGTGTATGTCTTCCCTGCTGAGAGAATGTTCAAGAAGGAAAGGTGTCCACTGAGCAGCATGGGGTCAGGTCAGTGGGACCCCTGGGTTATGCTGAGAGGAGGTGGGAATTCAGCCAAAATGAAGACAGTCAAGGACAAGCAGGGGTGAGTCAGTAGGGAGCCTAAAGCACCTAGAGAAGATGGGGCCTGGCTGTGGAGGTGGCTCTGTCACACACCCCAGGAAACCCAGTGTGAGATACCCTGATCTGAGCCCAGCATGCAGTGCCCTGGGCACAGTCCATGCTGTGTCACCACATGTCCCCTACCCTGGTCAGTAAATCCTGGGTTGACCCCCCCCAGCAATCCTCACTCATGCTTTCCTCCTGTCCCCACTAAAAGCCCTGCCCAGGTCACCCCTGCCTCGGCTCACTGCAGCCCAGGACACCTGGCCAGTAGGGACACTGGCGCCTGAGACATGAGGCTTTGTGTTCATCACTGATGCCTCTCCTCCCTCAAGTTCAAAGGCACTCACTCAGCAGGCCAGATCAGGGAGGGGAGGGGTGCCTCATTGTCTGTGTCTTTGCAGGTAGCATGAGTTGGAGACTAAGGCTTATAGGCCTACAGCTGCGGAAGCTCTCAGTCAGTTGAGTCTGTCTCAGGTCTAGGGACCTGGCCAGAAGGAATGGGGGAGATCAGCCACCTGGGGGACCCCCTTCCTCCCTTGACCAGACCTCTCCCTGGGTGAGGGAGCCCTGGGCAGTGCCTGAGGCTCAGTAAACACACTCCTGACCTCCTGGCCCTAACCTGCTGTCCCAGGTGCTGAAAATGGCATGGCCAGCCAGGGCTGTCCTTCCTGTGCACAAGTCTGTGTCTCTAACAACCCCTCCCCCCAGCCTCCACCGCCGAGGGACCCTACAGAAACTGCCCGGGGTAGTCTATGACAGGTGTCAGAGCTGGGGGTTTTCTCGTTGTAGTCTTATTCATATTGTGATTGCTTGCATTAGGATTTTAAAAGTAAAGCATTGTTAAGTCGTCATCCCAGGGATGCTGCTGTCTGTCATTAGGTATCTGTTTAGTTGAGACCTTTGGGCCCCGCCCAGGGCTCCTTGGTGGTGTCAGAGCGCCTCCTGACGTGGCCTCACCACCCCTCGGTGATTGGTTCCTGTGTGGAGCTGGCTCACCCCCACACTGGGCCTCCAGCCCGCCAGGCTCCTCCCCCCAACACATGTTTAGTGGATGCCTTCTGTGTGCCAGGCCCTGTGTTGGGCAGGGCATAGGACAGGAGTCAGCCTGGCCCCGCCATGGGAGGGAGAGCACTGTAAGAAGGTGTGCATGTGGGAAGCAGGGTGGGCTCCCTGGAGGAGGTAGCTTTAGTGGGGCTTGAATGCTTGGCATCTAGGGTTGGGAAAGGTGAGAATATTCCAGGAAGCATGTACAGTTTGGGCAAAGGCCCAGAGGTGCAGGGAGGTTTGTCTTGTCTGAGGTGCTAACTGCCTTTGGGGGTAACTGTAGAGTCCAGACTCCACGCAGGAGGAGAGGCCACCCGGCCTCACCCCCCTGCTGTCAGCACCGAGGGACGGGGGAGAGCTCTGAGCAGACGTGTGTGTTTGAGGCAAGAAGGAGCTGGTCACGGAGGAGTGCAGGGCTAGGTCTGAGAAACAAGGGGCACCCAGGCATGGCGGGCACGCTGGGCCAGACAGAGGCACCAAAGCGCATAGGGGAGGGGGGGCAGAGCTGGAGCAGAGCTCAAGGTGGCTCAGTCAGGGGGAGGGAGAAATGGGGCGGAGGGGACCCTAGGAGGAGGAAGGAGTATGGTCTCCAGGCTTTCTTTGTTTCTGTAACCCTACCATGTGTCCCCGACCAGAGCCCTGGCATAGCTGAGGGGTGACCTGCACTCACTGCTTTGGCTCCTTTGCCAGGCTTAGCCCTGGGCATGACACCATCCCCCCCACCCCCACCCCCGCTCGCCTGCCCGCCTGCCCGCCCGCCCGCGCTTGTGTGCGTGCGTGCGTGCATATGTGTGTGTGTGTGTGTGTGTGTGTGTGTGTGTGTGTGTGGTGGGGAAGCAGCTTCTGAGTCCTGCAGGCCAGTTCCCCACCCTTCCCCACCCTGTGATCTTGGACTGGGACTTAGCTCTGCCTCCGTGTCTTTATCTGAGGAAATGGGAGGAAAATGCTGCCAGCCTACCCCCCCCCCCCAGGTCTTGACGAGGCCAAGGTCAGACACGAGGTCAGGTGTGATATCCTCAGTACAGTAAGCATTCCACAATGTCAGACAGGGAGACTCAGTCACTCAGCTGCCAGCCTCCTGGCACACGCCGCCCTCCATGGTGCAGTAATACACTGAACCCACGCTTCCCAGCCAGTCACATACGTGTCAGCTCCATACCTGGCACCTGCCTGAATGGGCACCCACAGCCACAGGCCCGTGTGCCCTCTGCCACCCCCACCCACCCCCTCGCTCACACCTGCCGTGGATGGATGAAACAGAGCCGTCCACATAGAATAGGAACCCAGACCCAGACCCCCTTCTCACCCGGCCACACCTGCTCCCTGCTGTTTTCTAGTGGCTGAAGCAGATAGAAGGAACCGAGGCAGCCCTGACTCAGAAGATGCTGGACCTGGAGAAGGAGAAGGTAAGACCGGTGGGGAGGATGGCGAGAGGGAGGAGGGCTGTTTCCAGCCTTGCTTTATGTTCACGCAGCTCTAATGGAGCCTTTGTGCCGTGGCTGTTCTGAGTAATCCTCATGCAGCCACTTCCTCTTAGTCCATCACTTGCCTGTGCTGTGACCCGGGCTTCCAGGCTTGAGGTCCAGTGCTCCGAACCCACACTGCTGAATGACCTGAGGTCATTAGAGACCCAGAGGCGATGCCTAGGCCAGTAGCTCTGGAGGCACAGAAGGCTGGAATCTGCAGGCTTGGAGAGCTCAGGGTCTGGACCTGATTTCTCATCTGTCCACTTGGTTTGTGACCACGAGGGGTGCTAGGAAGATACCCGCTCTTGTAGAGTGCCAGGAACATCGGGGCTCTTGCGAAAGGCGAGGGCTCAGTTATTTACCAGAGACCACAGTAGACAGAGGACTGCTGTACCCAGTCCTTCCAGAGGGCTTGGTTCTTGAGTCACCAAGACCAGTTCAAGTCTTCCCAGTGGTGCGGGAGGTCAGGGTGCGGGTGGAGGATGTTGGGCAGAATCCCAGAGCCCAGAAGTAATCCCATGCAGGGTGTGGAGTGCCTAGCCAAGCACCAGAAGGCCTAGCCACCGATGAACCGTGGCCTCCAGGGCAGACACAGATCCTCTCTGTTTTGTCAATAGTAAAATGACGCTGCTGCAGAACGAAGTCTAGCTCTGAGACCTCAACTTGGTGATAGGAAGCGTGACTGGGTTCAGGCCGGGTCAGGCCCCCCAGGGCGGGTGGGGGGAGAGGGGGCTTGATGAGACTTGGAAGCTGAGAAGAAGGGCTTTCAAAGCGGCACCAACCAAGTGAGCGTGACAGCACCCAGGAAAGGGGGTGCAGCCTGAGCAGGGGCAAAGCCACACGCAGAACCACCAAGACCAGCTTTGGGGCTCGTAGGACACAGCCTGGAAGGGCTGCTCTGATCTGGGTGTGGGATGGCAGTGGAAGGTGGTGACATTCGTTGATGTCAGGGACCCCAGTAGGATGAGGAACTGGAGGAGTCTGATGACCTTGTCCCAGGTTCCCCCACCCAGCCGGGACAGCTGGGGCAGTGGGCCCAGCAGAGCCCTTCTGCCTGAGCATAGCAGCCCCCCGAGATGGCTGCTCTAGCACAAGGCAGGTAGATGGACTTTTCTTGGCCTCTTCCTGACCGATGCTGCCCTCTCTTCCAGGACCTGTTCAGCAGGCAGAAGGGCTACCTGGAGGAGGAGCTGGACTATAGGAAGCAAGCCCTCGACCAGGCCCACCTGGTAGGACCGGAAGTGGGTTTGACCCTTTGGCTTTTTAAGACTCTGCATTACAGGCTACCTTCCCTGCAGTGGGGTGGCAGCAGGCGATCACTTGTCCCCAGTTGTGATTTGCAAAATTATCTAACGACCTTGGTGATTTCTTCCGACATTTATTACATGCCACTGCTGATGACCTGAAATGAAGGAGAAGCTTTCTTACATGTTCGTTTATATGTAAATGTTTATACTTACAATCCCAAAGGTGAGGTAGCTATGTTTAGTGTCCGGCAGTGACTTCCTTTAGTGATTTGAACCCTGAGCCTCGCAGGGTGCCCCAGTGGGCCTGTAAGGTCTCCTCCAGCTTTGCCAGTGAAGGGCGACCTGCCGGCTTGAAGGAGGCAGGAATGAGCACATGGTCTCCGTTCCCCTGGGGTAGACATCTTCCCCGCGCAACTGGACAGGTGTTTGTACTTGGGATGCTTTATGCACTAGAACATTAGGAAAGCTGAGGGTTGCCAGGTGCCAGTGGCTCACACCTGTAATGCTAGCCGCTCAGGAGGTGGAGGCTTGCAATTCGAAGCCAGCCTGGGCAGCAAAGTTTGTGAGATTCTTATCTCCGGTTGGCCACCAAAAAGCTGACAGTGAAGATGTGGCTCAACTGAGAGGGTGCCAGCCTTGAGTGAAAAAGCTAAGGGTTGCTACCCTGAGTTCAAGCCCTAGTAACGACACAAAAGAGAAAAAGAGGGGAAAAAATGAAGATGAACTGGAAGCCAAACATGAGAAAACCCCAATAGAGCGGCAGCCCTCTCTGACTTAGGCTGAGTGGAGGTTGGAGGTTGGAGGCTGGGCTTCCTTCTTCTGGCCCTTGTCCCCGGGTATGCCCAAGATGTCTGAGCTGCAGTGTGTGCAGGGGCTGAAGGGCTCCCCACCACCACCCTGGGAGGCTTGGCCCCTCCCTGCCCACCAGCCCCTCCTGAATCCCCCACCCCCCAGCCCACCCCCACAAGTGACAGCCCACCTCTCTGAACCCTCATAGAAAATCCAGGACCTGGAGGCCACTCTGTACAACGCGCTGCAGCAGGAGCCGGGCCAGAGGGCCAGCGAGGCCCTGAGTGCGGGCCAGCGCGAGGCTCTGCAGGCCGCCGTGGAGAAGGTGCGACGGCAGATTTTGCGCCAGAGCCGGGAGTTCGACAGCCAGATCCTGCGAGAGCGCATGGAGCTGTTGCAGCAGGCCCAGCAGGTAGGGGCGGCCGCCGCACTCTCTTCCCCTCCTCCGCACCGCCTGCTCCATCCTGCCATCTGGCCCCTGCTAGGATGCTGACCTTGAAGGACACCTGGTGTCCTAGGTGTGTGTGGACAGGGTGAATCTCGCTCCAGGCACTGTGGGCTCCAGGCTTTCCTTTTCCCTGAAGGTAGATAAGCCTTGTGATTTGCTCTGTGCTTTTTTTTTTTTTTTGTTTTTTAAGAAAAGCCAGGAGCTGGGAAGCTGGCTCAGTGGTAGAGCGCTTGCCTCGCATGCATGAGGCCCTGGGTTTAATTCCTCAGCACCCCAGAAGCAGAAAAAGCCAGAAGTGGTGCTGTAGCTCAAGTGGTAGAGAGCTTGCCTTGAGCTGAAGAGCTGAGGGACAGTGCCCAGGCCCAGAGTTCAAGCCCTACAACCAACGAAAGAAAAAAGAAAGAAAAAGAAGTAAAAGAAAAGCCATCAGGTCCTCAGTTTGTTTTTCAGCATGTGCGGCCTGGGGTTTTCCTGGGAGCCCTGCCCATGCAGTATCTGAGCAATAGCCCTTGCACTTGCAGAATAGCCTCTGTCCACGGTTCGTTGCAGCAGCAGGAACAGATTTCCCTGACCGCAGCACAGCAGGGCTGCGGAGCCCTTTCTCTGCCACCCCCTGGGCAGTATGCTCTTCCCCCAGGCAGGATCTTCTTTGTGACACACACAGTCCTGTGTTTCAGAGAATCCGGGACTTGGAAGACAAGCTGGAGCTTCAGAAACGGCACATGAAGGAGCTGGAGGAAAAGGTGAGTGGCTGGGGCTCTAAGGAGCCCTGGAAGGGCTCCTGCTGTCATTTCATGCAAAGAATAGGCCCCTGCCTCCTCCAGATCAGCACCTCCAGGAAACTCAAGCCATGCTTTCTGGCAAAGACAAGTTTCTTCCTAGTGGCTACTTGCATCCTAGAGGCTCTGTGTGTGTGTGTGTGTGTGTGTGTGTGTGTGTGTGTGTTCCACAAATACTCCAGTCCTCATGCTGACTCCTCACTAGCAAGCGTGAGGTAGCCTCTGTAACATCCCCAGCCGTGGGCATCGCTCACTGCCTGGCTTCATTCACTTCCAATGACACGCATATGTAAAACAGCCAGTGCATCCTGGAGGACAGGCCTCCTTTCTTAGCAGGGAGCAGGCCCCCCTCTCCTGGCCTGTTGGGTATTTTCAGTACACCCCAGAGGTCCCTTGTACTTAGGACCATTTTGTGGGAGGGGAAACTGAGGCTGAGGAAAGTGGGAACACTGAGGTGCCAACAAGGAAGGGACAGTGGTCTCTGCGGCTGTGACATCTCGCCTGCCTCCAGCTTCACGTAACGGACCAGGGCGTGGAGGGAAGGGATGGGGAACACCAGGAGCTCCTCCAACTCTGGTCGCCAGACGCTTGGAGAAGAACATGGAGGCTGTTACTGTTTTGTTTGTTTGTTTGTTTGTTTTACTTTTCTTAATAAATAATACAAGGGAGATAGAGCCTTGCTTTGCAAAGAAAACTATTTTCAAAAGCAGCTCCAATTCCAAGATATGTTTCAGCTAATGATTAGCAATTCTATTTGAACAAAGCAAATCAGGAGTAGAATAAGAAAAAAAAATGCTCTTTTTTAAACTGGCCGGTATGATTTCTTAGAATTTCTATGAGGCCTTGTTTTCCCTGCTCTTTTATTTGGTTTTCAAAATTGACTTAAAACAGGCTATAAAAGACTCTGTGTGTGTGTGTGTGTGCACACATATGCGCAGATATGTGTGCATTATGCTAAACTCAGGGCTAAACTCAGGGCCTGAGAGCTGTTCCTTAGCTATTTTGATTAAGGCTAGCACTCTACTACTTGAGCCACAGCTCCACTTTTGGTTTTTTGGTGGTTAACTGCAGATGAGTCTTCAGGATTTGCCTATCTGGGCTGCCTTTGAACTGTGATCCTCTAGTCTCAGCCTCCAGAGTAGTCAGGAGTACAAGTGTGAGCCACAGGCACCGGCTAAAGAAATATATACTGGCAATACTAGGGTTTGTGCTTGCTTGGCAGATGCTCTTCTGCGTGAGCTATGTTATGTTTGAGGTTGGGTCTTGCTTTGGTGCTGGGCCAGCCTAGACCACAGTCCACCTATCAGCATTGCCCACCACCTGGGATAACAGGTGCCTGCCCCCACTTCCAGCCTTGGTTGAGATGGACACGAGAACATGCCTGGCATGTCCTCAAACCGGGATCCCCCAGGTCTCCACTTCCATGTAGCTGGTACTACAGGCGTGGCCACTGTGCCTGGTTATGAAGGCTTTTAAGTACCACTGAATCTCTTGGCAGATGGGTAGGCAGACTGGTACCCAGGAACATTCCCATTGGTGTATAGCACTGTATCATCATCTCTTGGTAGAAGCCACCACCCACAGGGCCTCCCTCCATACTGTCCCTCCAGCCACATTCCTTCGCCAGGAAGCCCTGGCCTATGCACAGCTCTCCCCGGGGAGCCAGCTTAGCAGGAAGTTTGGGGAGTACTTTGGGATGACCCACAGGGGTGTGCAAGGCCAGAGCTCAGCTTCCCAGATGCAGCTTCTCCTGAGGTCTGCTCGCTTCCGGTTCCTCCCTGCCCCCACCCCCGTGTCACAGGCGGTAAGAGATGTCGCAGAGCCCCTATCACCGATCTTACATCTTTCTCTTTTTTCTTTCTTTCTGTTTTTCTTTTCTTCGTTTTCTTTTGGCCTTATTTTATAGTTTTTGTTCCTGTTTCTGTTTTTCTCACTAGCATTCATCCTGTGGCCTTGATGATTCTGGGGAGCTGAGCACTCGGGTTGGTATCTTTTCCTGTCCTTGGATGAAAAGATGACTTTTGGGGGGACCAGTCCTTTCTCTGGCTGCAGGGGCCTGGAAGGGGGCTTGGTGCTGGGCTCCTCGGCTCCCTGGGTCTGTGAGGGTGATGATTTCAGGAAGAAGGGGCTCATGAGGAGGGCTAGGTCCCAAGAAGACCCCGGCTTCTCCTTTTTGGGGGCCTCTTTTCTGTTCTCAAGACTTTCCAGGTTGCTTCACCTCCTGATGCTGTGTGGCCATGGAAACCGCTAACTGTTCTGACAAGGCCAAAGAGAGGAGGCTTCTGGGGACAGGCGTCTGCAAAAGCCAGACCCCAACCTACCTGCAAAATGTCCAGGGTACTGCATAAAAAGGCAGCCAACAGCTGAGCGCTGGTGGCTCATGCCTGTGATCCCAGCTACTCAGGAGGCCGAGATCTGAGGATCAAAGTTTGAAGCCAGCCCAGGCAGGAAAGTTTGTGAAACTCATCTCAATTTAATCCCCAGAAAGCCACAATGGAGCTACAGCTCAAGTGGTGGAGCACTAGCCTTGAGCAAAAAAGCTAAGGGACAGAGTTCAGGCTCCAACACACACATGCACGCACGCACGCACACACACACACGCGCATGCACACACACACACACACAGTGTCTTTCCCACACTTTCTCCTGCTCTTTGATCCCCGGGTGTGGTTTTGATACCTGGGTTTAGAGGCTGTAAGAAGGAAGCCATTCTGGCCACTGGTCACTCTCTGACTGATGAGGTGCTGTGTCTTAGCACTGGCTGTCACCTTGTGTCCCTGTTCTGACCCCTGGGCTGTCTCTCCCTGGGCGGAGTGCCCTGCTCAAGGCTGCTGTCTTCCAAGGGCCCTAGATGGATGCCCAGGTTCTTCCTTGAGACTCCCACAGGCTGCAGGCCACCAGGTTCACAGGCTTAGATGCCCCCATCACCCACTAGAAGCCTAGACAGCCTGGCAAAGCTCTGACGCTAGGCCTTGTCTGATGCCTCAGGGATGTCCCTCGTGCGGACCCCTGCCTGTGAGAGCCAGGCCTGCTACCTTCTGCACAGGTCCTGGCCCTAGTGGATGGCTACTCAGTGCAGCACGAGAGAAAGAAGGCCTGGCCTCAGGTCTGGGGGGTCACCAGTCCCACCATGGGTCAAGGTGGGCATTCCTGGTCTGCCTAGAATGTCCAGGGCTCCCTGGGCCCAGCTTGGGGGTTCAGGAGGCAGCGAGGCATGAGGACAGACAACCAGGGCTTCTCCGGCCATCCCCCTTCTGGTTCTCACGTCATGCTGAATTATTTCTAACCTTACAGGATAGAAAAAGAGTTTGTGGAGTAAACTGAGTCCCTGTGGCAATCCCCACCCCACTCAAACCAAAATTCAACAGTGACTTCAGCCAAGACCAGAGCCCACGTGCATCCGAAGACAGCGTTGTGGTCCTCCGATGTTGGGTGTCGGCCTGGGTCCTGGCCACCCCAGCGGTCAAACTCTGTGGGGACGATGGGGATTGTGGCAAACTCAGGACCAAACTCATATCCCAAGAGCCCAAGGGAAAAGAGACCCCAATGCCAGGAAACCAAGTGCAATTAGCAGAAACCCAGGGTTTGGGAGCCACTGCCCTGTGTGGGGGCAGGCTGGAGTCCCTGTCCCCATGCTGTGCGCCTCCCCTGGCCACAGTGTTTGTGCCCACCGGACACAGACTCCCCCTCCGCCCCATGTACATAAACCACAAACTAGGTGTGTGCGTAGAGTCTTATCTTGCAGGGAAAGTCCATGTGATGGCCAGGTGAGCGGAACGTTCTTAGGCTATGCACATCTGGATTCAGCATCTGGCAGTTGGAGAGAGAGTGCAGCCTGGCCCCCGTGGCGGGACACGAAGCCCATGGACAGCAGATTTCCAAGGGAAATTGAGTAACATGGCAAAAATTCCACAGCATGTCACAGACTACAGGAGTCTACACAGCTACCGGCTTGGCCGTGCCTAGCCTGTCCCAGTTCTCAGTTATAAGCTGGAATAGGAAGCCTACTGGAACGGGGCTCCCTCCCTCTGCAGGGCAGAACCCCTACAGCCATATCCTGAGCCCTCAATCAAGCAGGTAGGCATCGGGGTAGGTGGTCACCTCTGAGAATGGCAGCGAGCAGTGAGCAGAGCCAGGCTGGACACCAGGTCCCAAAGTCCAGCCCAGCTCAGAAGGAAATTCCAGAGAACAGAAGTGATGGCTGGCCTGTCCTTGCCCCCAGGCGGGTGTCAGGGGCTTTCTGGCGGGTGATTGTCCCTTCCAGATCCGTGGCAGGGGACATATCCACGATCAGGGCAGGGTGTCTGTGAAGATGCCGTGTCTGTGAGGGCCGGGTGGCGTGATGTGCTGGCAGATGGCTGGGTGCATGGCCATGCTGGCGCTGCAGAGTAATCTTGAGGTTCACGTTGAGAAGGACTGGCGTAGGAAACAGGACCAACTGTAATTCAGGACATGGAAAGGGCTGTAGAGAAGACACACGAATACTGGACAGAGGGGCAGAAGCCCCTGGAAGGCCAAATCTGAGTGTGGAGAAGCAGGACAGCTCTCCACCTGTCAGGGGACCCGGCCAGACAGGGAGACCATGCGCACCAAATCTAAGGATTCAGGACTCGAAGCAAACACATCAGCATCGGGACAGCTGACATCTGAATCCCTAAACCCCAGCAGCGCCAGCCCGGGGATTTCCTAACACCTGGCGATCAGGTACCAAGGAGCCAGAGAGTGCTGGGAAACCCAGACATCCACAGTGGAGGCGGTGACAGAGCACAAGTTATCCGTGGCGGGGAAAGCAGGCCTGCTTCCCTTCATGGGGAGGGGGGGGGGAAGCTGTGCTACCTTCCTGAGGCCCTGGAGGAGCCCACAGCCCAGCACCTGCAGCAACTGCTGGTCCAGCCTTAACGAAGAGATGGCCTTTGTGTCACCTGTGCTTGATCTTTATTGAGAGAGAGGACAGCCTCCTATCTGCTAGCTCACCATTCAGATACAAGTGACAGTTAGCCCTGGCTTTGAGGTCAGCGCATCCGGTCACTTCCAGCCGGCCACCCCTCTCCTGCAGATGGCCGATGTTCTTTCAGCCCTGTGGATCAACGGTGACAGATCCCATGATGCGTCTCGCAGGTCTCCCCGGGTGAGGTCATAGCGAGACACACAGACTTTCAAGACTCAGCAGGGCCCTTGTGGCCCACAGCTGCTGGCAGAAGTGGTGCCGTGTTCTCTTGGTGGAATGGCTTTCCCAGAGTCCGAATAGCCACCTACCGGGTCCCCAGACAGCCACTTGGGCCTGAGAGATGGAGGTCACAGAAGGTGAGTACACTGCTCTGCTAGGGAGCCCCGTGTCCCCACGTCCCTGCCCACGTCCCCGCGTCCCTGCCTGCACCCAGCGCTTCTTGTCATCATCTCAGTCAGAGCCACCCAGCTGTCTGCTAAGGACAGGCCTGGTTATAAGAGCCATGGTGTCGAGCTCCCTCCAAGCTATGGGAGTGGTTAATATAGACGTCCATCCTGGCAGGCTCTGGGTGGTGTGCCGCAGCCTTCGGGGGCCAACAGCCACAACTCGGGTCTGCAGTTATTACCCAGTTGTTCTGGGAACAGAGCCACCGAGCCGATCCCAGGCTCACTGCCCCCTCTCCCCCCGTCCCCTGCAAAGGAGGCGAGGTTGACCCTTTCCACAACTGTCACCCAGATCCAGAACTGCCACTTGGCCATCTGTAAAATGGCCTTCCTGAGCAGGGCACCGGTGGCTCACACCTGCAATCCTCGCTACTCAGGAGGCTGAGATCTGAGGATCAAGGTTCAAAGTCAGACCAGAAAGGAAGGTCTGTGTGCCTTTTATCTCTAACCAACCACCAAAAAGCCAGAAATGAGCTGTGGCTCCAGGCAGTAGATCACCTTCAGCAAAGAAGCTGAAGGGTGGCTCCCAGGCCCTGCGTTCAAACCCTACGACTGGCACCAAAAACATAAAGAGGCCATTGGTGTGGCCCTGCTCCAGGCTTCCCGTGACTTTGGGCTCGCAGACTCTAGGTCTGCAGTCAGTATGTGCTGGGCTCCGGGAGGGTTGTGGAGCCTCATTCGTCACGGGGTGAAATGTGGGCTTCCTCTCGTGACTGTCCTCTGTGGGTGTTTGGTAAGCGTGTGCTTGCAGGTGGCTCTGTGCTTGGCCCTTGCTTCGTGTGATGCTGGCAGCTGATGTGTAAAGTGAGAGGCTCTCATTCATATTGCATGGCGATGGTGCTGTCCCCTCATGAATAAGCTACCTGTTTTTGCCTGCCCCAAAGGACATTTTCCCCGACAGTCGAAGGCAGGGCAGCTGCCTTGTAATCTCCAGAGAACCCGTGCTGCAGAGTCCCCTGATTCTATCAAGGGTGGATTCCTGAGATTTTGATAGCATGGAGCCCACTGCCCAGGGACAGACTGAGAAGAGTTTCAGCTATGTGATCAGAGCCCCCAGCAGCGATGGGTTTGACGTGATGAACGTGGACGTGACCATCGATACGCGCTGGGTATTCCGAGATGCAGAGGAAGCCGGCGAGGAGGAGCAGGGATGTCTTCCGGACGGAGCCAGCAGCAGCCCAGGTGTGGCCCCGGGGGAGCTCGGGAAGCAGCTGGCGTCCTCTGAGCAGAAGCTGTTGGTGGCTGTGGACGAGCTGGACCTGAGGGCCAGGTGGGTGTGCTGGTGAGCGCTGTGCGTGTCTGATGGGTTCTGGGCTGTGTCACCTGTGCTACCAGGCAGACTGGCTGAGGTCAGGGCTTACAGAGGCACGTGCGTGAGCCACCTGTGGTCATTTGTCTTCCATCCTCCTGTCCTTCCCATCCTGCCTCTCTGCACCTAGGCTCCCTTGTACCCTCCAGATCTGATCAGGAAGACTAGAGACTAGTAGTCAGTAGATAGACAGAGGCAGTGGCTGAGGGCATCTGTGTGGGGCCAGGAGATTGGGACATCTGTACTGTATGCTGTGCCCTCCGCCTTCTTCAAAGAAGGGCTGCGC